GTAATACTATAAAGTATTGTATTTCCTATTTGTTTTTTTCATTAGTTTACAAAGAAAAAAATGGCAGCTTGTTCTTTTGGATGAGTTTAATTTTACTCTCCATATGATACATCTGTTTGTCAGGTAATTTAGTGTAGTTTGCATTTTCGTAGTAGTATGTTGTAGGCTTGTGAGTTAGAGAAAGCTATGTCGTTTACATAATTATATAGATAAAGCGGTTTATAACCGCCCAATGTGGGATTCCTGCAATAGATGATGAACAGATTAGAATAGCCATTGTTTACTCTAACTCTGATCTGTATCGCTTTAATTTGATTTACACGATAGAGAAGTTCAGCCCAGGACAAAACACAGGCTCTCCTCCCTCCAATTAGTAATATGTTTGTAAGTGCACAATCCAGTTATCGTGACGCCAGCCCTAATTTTGAATCACTGGCTACAGGAAGGTAATTGGCCGGTAGTAAACTCCTTTATTTTTTACTTTATTATAATTTATTATTGTGTAGCGCCATTACTAAGAAGCAGATGCAGTATGATCGCTAGGAAAAATGTGGTCTCCAGTACATCTTACCACAAAGATGATCCATTGTGTGTGTGTGTGTTTAGCATTCATCACTAAAAGTTGTTTGGCTCGATTATGATAATTTTTGATGTAGCAACTGGGAACTGTCCAAGGCTATTTCATTTTAGGACATTCGCCCGAGAAGGGGAATAAAGAGATCCTGAAACAGGGCACATTTCCACTTCTTTTTTGTTTTTCTTTATAGATTTTGGCTTCCATCACTCATGATTAGGTGGCTCTATTACCTTAATTTTTATATGGTAACTGGAAACTGTCCGAAGATGTAAATGGGATACTTTCTTTTGGGATTTTTGCCTGAGAAGATGGATAAAAAATACTTTGAAATAGGGAACACATCCATTTTTGACACCATTTTGGCTTGCCTCATCAAGAGTCGGTAGGTTTAGTTACCATAATGTTTTGTAAAGTTATTGGTGACCGTCTGACGACGATCCCCGGCTATAATATAGCTAATAAAACATACCTTAGGTGTGATAAAAAAAAGTGCGGCCAAAAAAAATGAATGAGTGGGCGACTTAAGGGAATGAAATCAAAATTGGCGGCCAAACTGGCAGCACCTTTTTTTTCACACCTAAAGTGTTTTTGATTTAATATCACGACTGTTTGTCAATACACACCAACAAACCACAGCAAGTAAGACAGTGATGACATTCGATAGTAACCCACATTAGCTTCAGGATAGCAACCCTATTATTTGGAACAGACCTTTACTTTACAGAACCAATCAGATTCTTTGAAATATATATGGTGGTAGTTTTCTCTCTAAAACTTAATAACTTCTTATATAGTAACGCCATGGAATTTAGATTAATGGTTTCTTGTCATCACCCCCCCCCCCCATGCAATCGATACAGTCGTACCAAGCATCATTATTTATGCTAATTGCTTAAGCTGATATCACGTGCCACTAAAAGTTCTTTAACTACGATAATTTAATTAAAGTTAGTAAATTTGTGCTGAAAAGTTGGCAACGAATAATGAATAATAACCGTCTACCCGTATGATTCTTTTGAAAACTTGGGCTATAAACTGATGATCTAGTTTGCTTGGCTAACCAATACTTATGTATCTGCACGTCCGTTCACCTATAGTTCTGCTGCTCTAAGTCTTTAATCCGAATGAAAAAAAATTGAAAACAGTCCACTTTTACTCTTAGGTGAAGCTGTAGTAAAAATGTTGGACCGATAGCTCACGTGACTTTTTGCGTAGGCGTGCGCAAAACTTTTCGCAAAATGCGTCTTATAGTTATACCAAATGAGACTCCTAATTATAGGTTAAAAATATCTATAAGTTTACCGAATTTGGAAAAAAAATCCATGAAATTTAAATATGTTTTTCTATCAAATAAAGTTTCCGAAAATTTGGTTCGAAGAAAAAAAATGAAAAAAACTCAATCAAAATTGGAGATGGTATATCTCAGGTATTTCTTAATGGATTGCGTTGAAATTGGGTGTGTGAAGAAAGAGTCCAGTAGAACACATCTGTTAAAAATATGGGATAGTTTGGATTACCTCAGTTTGAGATACAGCAGGTGAAAAATCGCTAAACTATCACTTCTCTTAATTTCATGATGTCAGAAAAACACGTAGGTTCAATAAGTCTTGATACAAAATGATAAAAACCCTATAAACCGAGCGCTTTCGAAAGGTGGACCTTTCTTCTTCAGGAGCAAACTGGGAATGGTGGTGTAATCGAATGAGTGATATATAAAGGGAGCTGAGAGACGTCATGAAGGTCATCTGGTCTTCCAGGAAATGTTTAATGTATTTTTCCATGTACTTTTGTAAGTGTGTTCCAATTCCGGCGACGAGAGCATTATGTAAAAAGATGTTAGGGATATTTTGTTTTATAAATTATTAAAAACGAAAGAAATAAAACTATACTTAAGTCTTTAAGTAAAATAAGATGACACCTGGAGACTGATTGAAAAAGAGATGTTAAGCTAATTGATTTATAGAAACAAGTATGGAAAATTATTTTAAATAGATGGTAAGTTTTAGAGAAATTAGGGTTCACAATACATGAAAGAAATAAGCAAAGAATAAAAATTATTTTCAGACAGAGATGAAACCAATGATCCGAGATCACTGATTCCAGGATCAAGACTGATTCCATAAGGTTGAATAGTGTTTAGATTCGCAATCCAATATCCTTTTTTTATCTCTCTTTCAGCTTGAGTTTTGAATCCTGTTTCAGTCCCGATGAAAGTAACATCGTTAATGGAATGACAAAGTTGGTTAAAGTGTTGAGCAATAGGGAGATTTTTCGGTGTTAATGGTTGTTGAAACGTTCTCTAAGAGTTGTTTGTGTATGTCCTACATGTTGGTGATTGCATTTTTTGCACTGTACAAGGTAAATGGTGTTTTGTGTTCCACAAGTGATTTCTTTGGAAATTTTAAAGTTTCTTTGGTTGTGATTGTCAGAAAATTAGTCAGTAGTTTTTATGAACTTGCAGGTTTGACAACCATTTTTTGGTGGGACACATAGTGCAGGCCTATCTTAAAAATTAAACACGGTAGCCCTATCGCTAGAACGGAAACATAGAGCAGGCCTATCTCACAGATTAAACACTATAGCCCTGTCGCTAGAACAGACACTTAGAACAGGCCTGTGTTAAATATTAAACACTGTAGCCCTGTCGCTAGAACGAACACTTAGAACAGGCCTATTATAAAAATTAAACATTGTAGCTTTGTGGCTAGAACAGACTCTTAGAGCAGGCGTATCTTAAAGATTAAACAGTATAGTCCTGTCACTAGAACATACACTTGGAGCAGGCCTATCTTACAGACTAAACACTGTAGCCCTGTCGCTAGAACATAAACTTAGAGCAGGCCTATCTTAAAGATTAAACACTGTAGCCTTTCGCTAGAACAGATACTTAGAGCAGTCGTATCTTAAAGATGAAAAAATTATATTCCATGTTATTCTCCGGAAAATAGTTCAAGTGAAATCACAAGATATTATCACTTCAATAAAATAACCAACCTTAACTCCAGACTATATCATTTGTTTATCGTAATATATTTAAGAAAAAAAATTGCAGAAGCTCATATTAAAAGAGAAACTATTGTTTTACAACTCTGAACGCTTGATCAAAACGAACTAATTTTTAAGGAGTATAACTACTGCAGATTAACCATCTACGTAATACAACCCTGGTGATGATCCCCCTCTCTCCACACCTGGCGGCCTTGGGGGTTTACGTAACGGTGAATCTTCTAAAGGTATAACGGGATGGCCAGGAACCGCTTGTCTGCCCCCACCTTTCTGCATTCTCCCGCCCTCCTCAATTGTCTTTTCGTAAATAGAGGTCAAAATATGACAAGGGAAAGTTAATCAACTCTCTTACTGGTCCAAATTAAGGAGGAGGGTTAACGTGAAAGTGTGTCATCGTTATAAAAGTGACAGCGGTGCAGTTTTTGTTCCAAGAACAGTCGCCTTTCTCGTGGAGGAATCTAGATTTTGGAGAAATATATCACTTACCAAACAAGTTTGGGGCTCGTCGCGAGCTGCAAAGTTAACAAGGTAGCAGGTAGGTTTTGCTGAAAGATCCTTCGTAGTTGTAACTCTTGTTCACCTGGTAAACTCTGATTTATAAATTGTAAACTAAGGAACAGAGAAAGTGATATGGAGCGAATATTTGTACACGCAAGTTGGCCGAACACTGGAATGAATATGCAGATATATTTTGAACTCAACAAGCAATAGATTTACCTGCCACGAACAGTAAGTAGAATAAACTCTGTTCGAGGCCATGCGTCCGATATATAAGTTATTACACTTTAAAGCTGCCCTATTTATCTATGACACTAAACTGTATATTCTTAAGTGTGCTTATTCTTTTCCAATTGTGACTTCCTGTTGTTATTTCCACTACCTGTGACGTATGTCTCAGTAATTATGAAGGAACTTCAGAGTTTAATGAACACGCGTGGACGGACCTGAGTAGCGGACATGGAAAGATGCAAATATGAAAAGATTATTTAGTTTTACTACTGGGAACAGATTTTATGAGCATAGAAGTTAATAAACTATTAGCAACAAGTGGAAAATATTATATGTGTTTCGTAGTCATGCGAACGCTATACTTCGTCAAAATAGATTTAAATCAAACCAACTTGTTGTTAGTGCTGTAATTGGTATGCTCACTGTCTGTAATGTATATGAATAACCTGTTTAGTGTAAGGTTTGTTTCACTGCGAAGCACCGCTGAGTTTCCAAAAAGACGAACGTACTATGATCACGTTTAGCTTCAATGAACAAAAAAGAATTAAACTAGGGTAACAGATGTGAAAACTGACATGAACCTTTCACAATAAAGTTACCAGGGAAGTAAGAAGATGAAACAGCATAAACAATAAATTAAATTCAATATAAAACTTAGAACTGGTAAAACATGACACAAGTATATGCAAACGTATGCTTAATAATTACAGTAAAAATTTTACAACTCGAACCTGGATAAGAAGTAACTAGGAATAGTCAACAACAAAATATATAAAGTCGATTACCAAATAGATAAAGAACAAAGTATAGACGGTAGGAAGCTATTATTAATATATATATATATAATTTAGGAAGCTATTATTAATATATATATATAAGTTTCGTCCTTTAACGAGTGTTTTCTCTATTTTGTCCAGAACACACACAAAGTGTACTCGCACAAATCAAAATAAAAAATAGTCACAGGACCTCTCACGAGTCGTTTTTATTACATGCAGTTCTTGGTTATATGTATGGTAGGAAGGAAGCAATACACGTGTGATATATTGGAAATTCTAATTTAAAATATGAACCACGTCTCATTTGGCTGCTCTAACCTTCTACTTTTATCTGAGTCCAAGTGGAGCAAAACAAAATCAGTTCGTTTATTCCCACTTTCCTTAGAATCATGGGTACTGTCGTACATGGATTTATTATTTACGAACAATTATAAAAACTGCGTTTGAACGAGAGTGTTTTGTTTGGTGTTATAATTCAGTTTTCATGTTTTTCCTGAACCAATTAAAGCATAGAGTGATTCGCTATTTATGATAATTCCTGCTCCTATAGTTCCGTTATATGTAAGTTTAAAAGTAATGATGTTTAGTAAGGGGTTTTTTGTATGTTATCGAGTACTTTATAAAGTTTCAAAAGCTTTGTCCAATTTGCAGCTTTTGATAGTGATTACAAATATGTACCATATAAAAAGTGTTATATCGAAACGTTTTAAAAAGAAACACCGAATTATTGATGTTTATATAAGTTTTTATTCTAACGCCCCTAATGATGTTTTGGGAAGTGAAATTATTATTTGATTATAATATTTATAAACTATGTTAATATTTAATAGTTCCAGAGTTTGTTAAATAAGTCAAAAGGAAATAATGTTTGCCATAACTTAATAATGCCTTTCTTGTTCTACTGGCCCCAGGTGTGTTTCTCCCTAAACATTTGAATTATTTTAAAATATTTTCAATAAACATGTAAAGAGTTAAAGAGGTCTGATGATTCTTTTAGGAATGTTATTTGCCCTTTCCTCTTTTAGGAATGTTATTTGCCCTTTCCTCTTTTAGGAATGTTATTTGCCCTTTCCTCTGCTCCAATACGAATGAAATGAGTCGTTATTTCATTTGTTACATTTTAGTATCACATCTACTTGAATCTTTACGGGCAAGTGTAAAGATATACAGTTGCCTTTCGTTCAACTGTCCCAGTATTGATCCCATCTCATAAGTAATATGTTTAATAAAAACATTAGCATCATTAATCTCACAAATTACAAAGCCTAGGGTCTTGTTATACCAGATTTTAGAAGCGCTTCTTACTGAAAAGTTATGAACTAATTTACTTCGACGATGTTAGCTTTCAGAGCAAAATACCATCCTACAAGAAATAACTTGAATTTATTATGATAATTAGAGTTTGTAAATTTTTTTTAACCAGTGAAGGTCTGAATAAGAAAAAACTATTCGCTCCGTGGCAAAAAAACATATCCTTCAGATAAAAATTAACGGATGCCAAGCAATTAATAAACGCCAAATGATTTAAATTAGCCTAGTTTATGTTCGCTAGCTATCTGACCACAACTAGTTTTGTAATATTTATGTTTTTGTAGTGATTCTCGAATGTAACCTTTTCTAGTGCTATATGGATATATTAGATGTAGCTGTATGGATGATAGACATAATATACACACTGAAGTTGTTGTCGTTTTTCCCCTATTTTGCTGAACGTATTACACCCTTAATGCTAACAACTTCTATTACTAGGGAAGGATTTCCCATGAAAGAAATTTACGTCAGTGCCAAATGACCACCCTCTAACATCCCAGGCACGAGGAAGGAAGGGTTAGAAGGTGAGGGACAAATACATTTCTTGGCACACCTATTATGGCCTTGACACACATATGAAAATATGCTCAAAACTTGACAATCGATTTTTGTAGTAAATATTTTTCAAACCTCGGCTTGTGTTTCGGTTCATGGACATTTGAACGCAAGCAATGTGACTGTTATGGGAAAAAAAATATAGCATATCAAATATTTTCGTGCGCTTCCCGTCGTTCGCATTTGTATTCTGTGGCTTTGAAAGTCGTTTTCATAACTTATACAGTTTTATTTGTTTTTATTAATACTGCGTTTTAGCAAAAAAATCGGGATTCCATTTTATGTGGATTTTTTAATCAGAAAAACTACTTTTCATTTTATTTTTTTTATAATAGGTTTTATTTTGTTGTTGGTAAGCGCAAAGCTACGCAACGAGTTGTCTGTGTTCTGCCCACCAAGGGTATCGAAACCCGATTTTTATCGTCATAAGCCAGCAGGTTTACCACTGAGCCACTGGGGAACATTTTTTAAATGAACAGAAAAATATAAGTTCCAAAATAATCTGTAAATATTTTTCCAAAAAGGCTAACTAAATTTTTACTTTATTTAACATAAATTAATTCCCTAATAATATATAATATTTAAAATGGAACACCTTCGTGATTTCTAGGTGCTATCCACCATTAGTTAAACACAGAAAAAATATTGAACAGGTTTGTTTATTTTAGAAACTTCAAGCAAAGCTACGCAAAGGATTATCTGCACTTAGCCGTCTCTAATTTTATACTAACAGGCTGGAGAGAAGGCAGCTTGTTAACAACACCCACTGCTAACTCTTGGGCTACCCGTATTTGATCGAATATTGGGATTTGATCGTAATTCTTACGGTAACCACGAACTTAAACACAAAGCTCATTTTTGCGGCAACGGGATGCGAGCCATGGATCCACGGACGCGTGGAGTTTAATGAAAAAGTGAACTTACGAGTTGAATAATCTCTGTAAGTAGCGACATTGTTACGTATTAATAGAACCCAGCAAGTAACTTCTGAGCTATGAGAAGCTAGAATGTAGCTTTGAACAAATATGTTAAAAACACAGGGAAAAAAAATAAAACCAGTTCGCGTATTCTGGTTTTAAAATCGTACAAACATAAAACGTAGTTACAAATTCAGTTGTGTGGCAACTGAATGAAATTTAATCACCATATAAAAGATTAAAACCATAAGTTTTGTCATTTTTAGATGTCTACAGATTGATTTTTGCCAAAACTCAGTTATAATATATGAATAGATTAAAACATTTTTTGTTGAAGGCGTCAAATAAAGACACTCGTCCAAGAATGTGAACAAAGAATATAGTCCGATATTTTTCGAGGCCGCCTTATGATACGAGCCTAACTGACAATCCGGCTATGTGATGTGGCCGAAATAGCCAGTTGATACTTATGCTTGTTGTACGTTTAGCCAAATCCCCCAGCAAATCAGCGGTAAATTTGCGGACTTACAATGCTAAAGTCAGGGTTTGATGGACAGAGTGCAGCGCATTATGGTACTTAGCGCTAAAAGAAACAAACATCTCGCCAATCCCAATGTCTTATCACAATACTTCTACCAATCTGTTACAGTTTTCATCGCACTAGAACTGTTAATTGATACATTATTAATCATTAACGAGATAAGCTCAGATTACAACAGTTGTGAATAACATTAAGGTATTTCAGAGACGAAACCTTAATATACTTTTGCATCAGTCCTTATCTTGAATTATAGATATCTTTAAACTGAAAATGTTGCGATACGTACACATTAGGGTTAAGATTATCATACAACTCATGACGTAAAAAAAAAATCGAAATGTGATTTATTCGACAACGTTTTTAAACAAGTGATTTTGGTCCAATATAAATTATAATAAATATACGAAATTTAAAAATGCTTTTCACATTATTTGTTTATGCGCTGTGCCCACTGTACGGATGGAATCCTTACTTATAGCATTATAAACCTTTAAGCTTACCGCTGAATCCCCTGAATGAAAGTATAAAACCAAATAAAACACACCTTTATATATATATATATATATAAGTATGCCTAAATAGTAAATTTAACGATATTTTTGTTCTTGCCCTTCCCGGGGGCCTTACGAGAGATAATCTAATATTTTACTTCAAAGGATTGATGGCTAGGGCGCTAGACTCGCAACCTATGGGGCACGGGATTGAAGCCTGTCGCCCAAAAGTGCTCGTTCTTTCAGTCATTGAGTCATTATAATATGGAAGTCATTCCCACTATTCGTTGATAAAGAATAGTACAAGAGTCGGTGGTGGGCATTGTTGATTAACTGCTTTCCTTCTAGTCTAGCGCTTCAAAATTAAGGACGGAAAGTACAGACAGCCCTCTAGTAGATTAGTGCGAAATTCAACAAATAAATAAACAAACTTCAAAAATAAAATGAAATTTTATTGCATACGTACCTTTACTGATTTTTCTTGTAGCGTTTCTGCTGATGTCGTCTTTTGGAAATGACCAGAGTTAAATAAATTTTCTCTAGCATTTCTGTTAATGTCGTCTTTTGCACATGGCCATAGTTAAATACATCTTTATTGTGGTATTTCTGCTAATGTCGTCTTTTGCATATGGCTTCAGTTAGATAACGAAAGTTGAGTAACTACGCCTAGAGCCCTCCAGTGGCACAGTGGTATGTCTGTGCTAGAAACCGGGTTTCGATACCCGTGGTGGGCAGAGCACAGATAGCCCTTTGTGTAGCTTTGTGCTTAATAACAAACAACAACAACTATGCCTAGGTTATGTATTATTTTATTTCGCTGTTGTAAAGCTTTTAATACGTATTACAAATTAAGTAATCAATTCGACATTCAAAAACCTGTTTGTAAACTAAGTCATTTGTTTTGTGTTAAATCAAGATTTTCAATAATTTCAATCCTATCGATGCATAACATGTAAGCCGAGGGCTCATTTTTGTTCTTGCAAACAAAAATGGCTTCTTCACAGTCAAGAGCTGCATCTCTACAAAAACATTCATATCACAGAATAAAAAAATATTAACTTATCTTAAGAAGTTTGAGCATATTTTGTTTGTCTACAGCACGCTTACCGATTATGAAGAACACAAATATAATTTGTGACAAACTTTAGCACCGTATTTATATCACTTCTTGTGTTGTGTGTTTTGTCGGGGGTAGAGGACTAAAAGCTCATTAGAAAGATAACCCATTATTGATTTTAAGGTTTTTCTATCTTGTACTTGCTTCTTATAAGATTAAAGAAAACTAGGGCATTTTAAAGACACTGTGATAAAGTGGAAAGTTACCTTTATAAACAAACATCTAACGAGTAGAATGGATGAAATTAGTGCTTATTTTCAAAACAATATCGTAATTTTGTCGTCTTTGCGGCAGTGGCTTTAGGTAGACTGGAAGAAATTACACTAAGTGCCACTAAAACTGTAACACGAAATATATAGGAATTAAAAAACGTAAAAAAAAGAAAACGAAAGAACAAAAATTGCTGGATAATTACCCGTTGAAATTATGCGAACCAACAGAAATTATATCAGTGGTAATGGAGGGATAAACAAGTTAAAATCACTTAGTGGTTATGTACGTTAAAAGGTATATTTATCAAAGTTGACTTTAAGCTTGAAGGCATTAGTAGATCAAAAACTATTTTATGCAAAGCTTATTAATTGATAACTTATTGTATTTAACCTGTATATTTTTTATACGCATTAAAACTGAGATTTCTAAAGCGTAAAAAATATACCCACAAGAAAATTGTTGTTGATAACTTATTGTATTTAACCCGTATATTTTTTGTACGTATCAAAACTTAGATTTCTAAAGCGTAAAAATATACCCACAAGAAAATTGTTGTTGATAACTTGTTGTATTTAACCCGTATATCTTTTATTCGTATTATAACTTAGATTTCTAAAGCGTAAAAATATACACACAAGAAAATTGTTGTTGATAACTTATTGTATTTAACCCGTATATTTTTTATTCGTATTAAAACTTAGATTTCTAAAGCGTAAAAATATACCCACAAGAAAAGTGTTGTTGATAACTTATTATATTTAACCCGTATATTTTTTATACGTATCAAAACTTAGATTTCTAAAGCGTAAAAATATACCCACAAGAAAATTATTGTTGTTATTCTAGGATATATTACATTAACTGATCGCCCATTATTATATTCCTTCCAGGAGGACCGCTCTGTGTGAACAATGTGGCTCCATACAGGACTGTTGGTACTATATCTACAGGTATGTTTAATCTCAACAATTCATAGTTTATCGGTTGTGAGTGAAGATCGTGATATCAAATACATCTTAATAATAAATGATGAAACAACAAGATGGATAGCATGCTCTATCATGTTTTATTGTTACCTGATAGATTCACGAAACTCGTCCTATTCTTCGTCAAATTATACTTTAATACTTTATAGAACGATATTTATTACATTTGTATCCATGTCGTGCGTGACCGGAAAATGATTCTTTAAAAGTTACACAAGAGGCATCTGGGCTAGCCATAACTAATTTTGAAGGAACAGGTTAGAGGGAAGGCACCTAATCCACAGCATCTACCGTCAACTTTTTGACTACACTTGTGAGACTAAATACTTGGACTTGACTGGGCAGAGCACAGATAGCCCATTGTGTAGCTTTGTGCTTAACTTCAAACAAACAAACAAATATGTTCGACAGGTTTATTATATTTTGTTTTGGACAATTTTTCTGGGTTAGACTGGTGTGGTGAATAATTCTCATTACCAACACATTGAGAATCTACCCAGTAAATCTTAGAAGCAGTTATTTTGAGTCACGAGTGTTGGGGTATTAATTGGCAGGCGTATAACTACCCATTCTTAGTACCTATTT